GCAAATATATTAACATAATAATATCTGTAAATTAAATTGAATAATATTATGTAAATTAAATTTTATGTAAAAACACATATAAAATATGATTATAAAGAAAATATATAATATAAATATTATAAGATATTGATTATAAAACAAGATAGCTATTAATTAATACTATATTAGTAACATATTTATTTGTCAGGCTATCATGATGAGGCAGTGCAACGTTCCAATCAAAATAAAATTGTTGAACATAAAAGAGGCAAATGAGAAGGCGAAAGATTATAATTTGCATAAATTTGGGCAGAATGTTTTTTTTTACAAAAATTTTGAAAGGCTAAAAAATAATGTTCCTCAAATCAGGTCAAATTTGCCAGGTCTTGATGTAACTTTTATACCTCTGTTTATACAAAATGTAAGATTTCTTTCGTTTTATAAATTAATAAAGAATAATGTCCGTATATTAAAGATATATTTATTCTTTTAAATTATATATATATATATTCTTTTCAAATTGTATATATTTTTTTTAGATCGTTAGCCCTGGATCTTTCTGGGCAACTCTTGATGATGATATTACTCGTAGTAAATTACGAGTTATAAAAGAAATACTCAATAAACGCCCCTTAAAAAAATTGCTCTCTATCCCAAAAATCTCGACCATAATCGCTGCTCCCATAGAAGAGAATGATTCCTTGGTTTACCATCGTGCTATAATCAAGGAATATATTTCAGAAATCGGAGAACTGGTCGATGTTTTCTTTATCGATTACGGTCATTTCTCTAGAATACGATTTAGTGATCTAAGGAAAATTGATAGTACTACAATTTTAGCAATTCCTCCCTTAGCATTTCGTTGCAATTTGGCTTTTTTGCGACCTTCGAATCAACGCAATCCTCACGGCCAATGGTCGGAAAGATCGAGAAATTATTTTTTGACACAAATTAAGAAAACCAAGAAAATATTAGGAAAAATTTATTCGATTGTTGATAGCGTTATTAATTTAGAATTGATCGTTATTAATGAGAAAGAGGAGAGCTTTAATGTTAATGAAACTTTAATTAAGAAAGGATATGCTATAAAAAGAGAAGAAAGCCATGTGTCACAGCAGAATCATGAATTAAGGGCAAATATTAGTAATATTAATGCAATGTCGATAGAAGAGAAACAATTTTACGAAGAGAAACAATATGACAAACATGAATTAATGGAAGTAAGTAGATTATTTGAATTTCGTATAAAAATTTAATTTATAGTAACTTTAAGTCTATATAAATTAATATTACATATGCAAAAAAAAATTAATTTTTACCATGATACTAGTACCCTAAACCACCTAAAGAAGAAGATTGCACCTCCAGCGTAAATCTCCAAGGTCCATTTTCTCCCTTAGAAATGGAATTGATTCAGTTGACATTAGGTGGAAGATTAAAAAAGATAAATGTAGATATGAAGTCCGTTAATTCTGTCCTTTTGGATGATGATCTTAATCAATCAAGACGTCTTCTAATTGCCCAAAGCACCACACAGTCGAATAAAAATTCTCTAACACTGAGAAATACCACTTTTTTGCCAAATATTCCTGGACTCGCGGCACTGCTCACGCTGAGTTTTGCACCGCGTATGGAATTGAGATGTAATTCTCGGAGGACTTATTATACAGGGGCTTTATGCGGTTTGGGTCCGAAAGATAATTTCACTAATCGATCTATATTTCCCGATCATGATATAGAAATTCAATTTGACGTTGAAATCACGATAGATGATGTGAAAGAGGTATTATCATCTCTATAAACAATAATATAATATTATCTGTATAAACAATAATATAATATCATCTCTATAAACGATAATTCATAATTTATTATGCGATTGCCTATATATTATGTTAGATTGTTCATTTTCCGCTATCGATATCAAACTCTTCATTAACTTTATAGACAGAATATAATTGTGACCTTTTTCAATTATTATTACAATAGCAAAATGATAATATTGATAATCAATTTTCATAGATAAATAAATTACGCCATTGGATGAATACTGCGATGCAACTAGATAACATCAGTGATGAGGATATTATACTTTATCAAAATAAAATCAAACATATTTTACTTGAACTAAAAGAGAAACAAAGACAATCACGAAATCCAGAAGATGACGAGATCGATCAACTTAGCGATAAATGGAATCGCTATAACGGACCACATTTTTTGCCATACGTTCGAGAAAATGTGAGAAAAGGCGACGTATATCCGTTACATAAGGCGTTAGAATTACGTGAAACAAATGAACAGATGGAGGAAATGCTGAAGCATCTGTCACAATTACAGAGTCTTGCCTATGAGTATGTAGATATTTGTATTTTCATATATTATTAGAATTACATTTTCTTTCTTTTTCCATTAGAGATGCAAGTGTAGTGGGAAACGTGGCTGCTTTTTGTAAATTATGCGAAACGGAAACGTTTGGCTTATTGCAACTACGCAATCATCTTTATTCAGAGCAACATGCAGAGAATGAGAAACTATTGCACCGTCAATTACATTAAGAGATTGCAATATATTTTTTTTTAATTTGGGTATTTCATCAATCTCCAATCCTATTCCAAAATACAAAAAAAAAATGTTCTTACATATTATTTTTTTACTCGCTTCATTTTATAGATTATGTATAACAATTATGCATGCAACGAACGTACAGTGAGAACAATTCTGGTTTAAAGAAACGCTCAGGATAAAAGGATATTCATAAAATAGAAACAATCCATTATATTTAATATTTGAAGTATTTTATGTTTATGTACAATAATAATAATAGTTCTTTGCGCGCGCGAGATAGATAATTTGTGATATTATGAATATATAAAAAAGTTTGTTTACATTTGCTGTTTCTATTTTACACAGACAACATTCATTTGTTAGTTTTCATGTTAGTTCTCTTGAAAGAGCATTTACACTTATTAAGACATCATTTCTGTTGTCATGTATTAGTCACTTTGTCCAAGTATGATTTCTATATTTTATTTTTTTCTTTAACTAATTGTGTGACTTTTTAGATTTAATTAACTATATTTATATATATCTTTAAAAAATAGAAAATATGAAATATATCAATGATGTACTGTATATGATCATTAAATATATATTATACTAATTAATATATATTTTCCATTTTTTTAAGAATATAATAAAACATACATTATATAAAATAAGCTATTTATTTTTTATAAATATTCCTTTACATTCTATTTCTATATATATATAAGGTGTAGTAAAAAGAAATCTATTATTTTTGCATTAAATTGAAGGCTTTATTTAGCATAGTTAGAATGATCCGATTTAGGTAATTTGGGATTTAGGCAAATATGCACCGTTTTGTTCGATAACTTGTTGCCATTTTGAAGGTAATTTCATTATGCCTCTCTCATAGAAACCCTCGTCCTTATTGGCAAAAAACTGGGACAGTCGATTTTCACAAGCTTCTCTTGAAGCGAATTTTTCACCAGCAAAATCATTCGCCATAGACAGGAACAGGTGGTAATCACTTGGTGCCAGGTCCGGACTATAAGGTGGATGCATAAGAACCTCCC